GAGCAACCCCTAGAGTTTCTTGTTCATTCTTCTCAATGGAATCTGCCGTACGAATGAATAGTGGCGTTTTATCAATATGACGATTTAACGTGTTATTTTATTACCTATGAAAGATAGACATAATACTTGAGTTTGAGTTTGACAGGAGGACAGTTTCTTTAAGCGTGGTGACAAAATATAGGCTGAAATAAAAACATTATAAATGAACTCACCGTCCAACTGAATGTATTTGTGAGCAGTGGTGTGGCCATCCCACGGGTTGGATCTGAGGCGAACTTCGTACGCGCAGCCGGGGCGTGTTGTAAAGTCGCCCGCCACTGTACTGCTTACCGGCGGTATTAGGAACGAGGTGACGTTCTGGAATAAAACGCTGAATATTACTAAATTTGGATCTTTCTTCACTAAGTGTAAGACGTAGTGTTACGTCATAGAAAAATTTCCATATACAAAATAGTATGTTTCAAGATTTTTTCTGAATATTTTTTTTATTATACTATCTGTACCCGACATACGTTGTAGTACTACTGCCAACTTTATTTTAATTCAAATTACTGTTTCATCTGAAATTTAAAATGGTTCTAATTATGGAAGAAAAGTGGCCACGATTACAATTGGAACCGCTGTCGTCAAAACACACATAAACAAGTAATAAACGCTACGAAATCTTGATAATGATTGGTCATAGTTTCTAATTTAAAACATGTAACAAATTCTGGTTTGTTAATATAATTTAAACTTTACCCAGTCGCTATATCGTTGAAGGTTCAATACCTTCATTGCAACTGCCTTCGTGGCCAAACGTTTACCACGCCGGACTGCCACGCAGAGGTTCGATTCCCGGGCCATGAGAAATATTTGTATGGCCTACATTTATTTCTCTCGTGGGTTTGGGTGTAATATGTGGTTGTTTATCTATGTATCCACGGCACCCGCGACATAGGGTTTCCCTAGTGCCGGGCAATGTTGATTGTATACGTTAAAAAAAAATACGACGTTTTGATTTTATATTGAAATTTTATTCAACGTGCTGCCATCTTGCAGCCAGTAGTTGGACAACGATGAACAATTACCATCTGAATCAATTGGATAAAAAGAAAATTTAATACTTATTGAAATTACCGATGATTTAATCACGAAAGTTTAAGCACAATCGGTTGAATGATAAAGGGAGAAACATGTACAAACAAACATTCACTTTTATATACGTAAATATATATAACATTCCTCATTTATAATTCCATTACGGAACTCTTTATTAGTGAGGCTTACTTGGCTTTCAACAACGTACATTTTCGACTAGAAACTACTAACATATACAGAATGTACCATGACATTTGGCTGGTTCGATTCCCAGATCACTAAAGAAGAAACAAGTAACTTTAAAAAATGTTTGACTGCAGTATTACTACCTTTTAAAAATAAAATGTATCCATGAAAAAAAATATCCCATCTTTCGCATACCCGTGGGACATTCTGTATAAGGAGTTACAAAAGGGTCGAATAAAACATTTTCTTCTCTTTGTTCACATTTCGACACGAAAATTTTACGACATGAAATATATCGAATTTACTCATTGTTAGTGGCATTCAATATTATATATATAAAGCTACAAGTTCTTACTCACTGATAGAAATATAACGCATACTTCCCGATATGGTGGAAAAAAAGATACTTATACCGTTGTACGCGGATAGATACTAAGGAAAGAATCAAATATGAGAAGACCTAAATGTGGAAAATATGAAAGAGTGGTCAACGCCTTGCAAAAACTATAATATATGGAGGGAATATTTGTGCACTGAGATACACCCTGGTCAATTTCCGCGTGAAGTAAGAAATGTTCGAAATTCAAATAAACAAATGGCCGCCATACAAATTTCAAAGCCTCCTATCACGGAAACTATTAGAAATAGGTAGGAGATGCTCAAAGGAATGTCATAGAGGGTAACACTGGTCAACTGCCTGGGTTTAAAAAATTCAAGATGGCGATTTCAAAATGGCGGCCGAAGAAAAACTTGCTTCGATCTGACTGAAAATTGGCATGCGAGGGTCTTTATGAGTCCTTAATCATAATTTGAGGTTAAAAATTTATTTTTGCCATTTTTTAATATGGCTGCCATGTAAGTGTTTTTTTTCGTTAAAAATAGCTGCCGAAAGAGATTTGCTCTGATTCGACTGAAAATTGGCATGTGAAGGCCACTAGAAATAATTTGATAATATATGATAATAATTGTAATAATAATTTGTACTCAAAAATTTGTCTTTCGCTATTTTCAAATATGGCCGTCAGAAGCGTTCGTTGGCGGCAGAAAAAAAATCCTCAGATCCCTTTGAAAATTGGCATATGGGGATCTCTAGGAATGCTTGATAATAATTTGTAATCAAAATTGGTTTTTCGCCATTTTTCAATATGGCTGCCATAGAAGTGTTTTTTGGCGGCAGATGAAAATTTGCTCTAATTCGATTGAAAATCGGCATGTGGGGGAGTCTATAGGTGTTTAATAATAATTTGCGGTCAAAATTTATTTTTCGCCATTTTTTAATATGGCTGCCGTATAAACTTTTTGGCGGCAGATGGAAATTTGCTCTAATTCAGCTGAAAATCAGCATATCGGGATCTCTATGGGTGTTTAATAATAATTTGCGGTCAAAATGTACTTGTTACTTTTTACGGCCATAGGCCGAGGTATAGCGGAGGGCGAAGCCCGAAGCGTCCGCACGCCACCTTACGTAGGTAGTATACGGAGACTCTATAACGGTACAAGATTTCACAATTGTTCAAAATGTAAGTAATACTTCCCGATGTAGTGGAAATGAGATACTTATAGCGTTGTTGTATCTCGACCGTAGATTTTTCTCTCTGTTAGATTTTTTTTTTCTTGGAAGCTATGCCAAAAAGAGAAGCTTAAGGAAAAAATACCAGACAATCACTCCAAATTTCTGATTTCAAAGTAGGGAATTTCCTGTACCATGAGTGCCAGAGTAACTTCTCCTCCCACCTCAGATAATTCTGAGGGCAATACCCACAATACTCTGACCAGAACCAATTTCAAAATATTTTTTTGGTTCAAATCAGGGATCGAATCTAGAACCTCCTCATCAAGCGCCCATAGTACTTAATCACTGTGCCAACGAAGAGCATAAGCACACACACAACAATATGGGCATACTTAAAAAATACATATTTTGAGAATAATATCACGAACATGGGAAACATTTTAAATGAAAAAAGAATAAGTATTTTTGCAATTTAATAGGTATGCTCCTAGAACTTTCTTATTATTTAATTTCGACTATTGTTACGTAATATGAAAGTAATTCGGGTATTATTTTATATTATTATTTATTACACAGGAAAAAGAACAAATTACATTTATTAAAAGTCAAAACACAAACAATGAATGAGTGAATGAATGAATGAAATATTCTTTATTGCATTTAAAATTGCAGTTAAAATACAATAAAGTAACTTAGGTATAAAGGTAGTAAGATAATGTACAACAGGCGGCCATATTGCTATGTAGCAATTTCTTCCAGGCAATATTAGGATAGAAATTTGGGATATGCAAAAAGGGTGCAACCAAAGAATATCATTATAAGTACACTACCTAATAATTATTAATAAACTCGTATACGTAGATAGAAATATCCATACAAATCTTATTCATACATAACAATACATAAATAATAATGGTAAGTGCTTACATACTTTAAAAGGAAAAAGAAAAATGAAATAAAAAGTATAGGAAATAAATTAAAGGATAATGGAGAAAAAGACAAAACTTAGGAGTTGAGGAAGTGATCCTTGACACGTCGTTTGAAGGAATCAAGAGAAGGGGAACCTTAAATCGATTCAGGGAGAGAATTTCACGGGCTGATCGCAGAAACGGGAACGGGAACGGGAAAACTCAAACAAATATTTCTATAAAAAAAATCTTGCTGCAGACCTAAATACAGGACAAAATAATTGAAATAACGGGCTTACGTGCACAAAATACAAAATTATGTAATGCAATGTTAATAACATTAAACTATTATAAACTAGATAAATACAAATTTCGTAATATTTTCTTCAAATGTAATTGGAACCAATACTGAGATTCTCACCTCACTAGCTCGGAAAGAAAGCCTTTCCGAACTAATGAGGTGAAAATTAAAGTTTCAATACCCTCTCAAAAATAATTTTCTTCCTCCGAAAAATGTGCGTTAATTGCTTCCTTCAGCTCTACGTCATCGGAAAAACGTTTTCCACGAAGATCTTTTTTAAGAGAGACTGTAGACTGGATGATTCAATTCTTCAAAGCCACAGTCGCGCATAGCAGCCTTGGCAACACGCCCTGTTTGAACCGGCGCGTTGTCGTGGAGGAGAAACACACGTCAGGTAATTTTTCCACGCCTTTTCTCTTTAATAGCTTCCTTTAGGTTACGCAGAGTGCTTGCATAAGATGCGTTAGTAATACTATGACCTTTTTCTGTGTACTCAATGAGCAAAATTCCCTTTGAGTAATATTATAATATAATACTCTCAGGATCATAGCGATGAATCCACATTGCATCTCCGGTAACAATCCGACCCAAAACACTCGGCGAATTTTCACCATAGAGCTCCAAAAATCTCTACAGCACACGACTCGCACTTGTTTCTGCGACGCAGTGAGCATTCGCTGACCTTTGACATGAACTTTGATACATTAAACTCACTTGATCACTTTTGAATAGTGGATAATGAAGGAGCACAATTTTAATAGACAGCCACCATCTCTTCATTAATGATTTTTTTAGTTTCTCCTGTTTTTGTAAATGCTGCTTACAATAAGAACAGTCCAAAGTACAAAGTGTCAAGCTTGATGTGCTCTTGACTGTACTACAAACATTGTTTTTCTACACTGACCAGGCGGGGCATTGCGACACCATGAAAACTAGTGTGCAATCTATGCTAGTGCTTATTGTTTGTTGAATTTTGAGACTCGTTTGGATTCTGCAGTCAAGTTGCATACTGTTTGTCCTATCACTTTTTATCACAAAAAAATCTGATTTTCTACCATAAAAAGCCATATTTGATATTTATGATGTTAAAACGCTAATTTCAACGGATTTTACTTAATAATATACGGAACTGTACCCTTTTTATGTAGTTGAATTACAATATAATTACTTAATAAATAACACAAAAAGGCACAACTGACTACAAAAAAGGAGCAGTTTCTCAATTTGACTATGTTTTTTTTGTATGTATGTAAGCGAACACTCCGGAAATTTGTAATTTGTTCGAAAGAGGGTACATCACTGGTAGTCCCATTTAAATTTGAAGAAAATATGCGATCTCTCAGTGAGACAACTAGGGGATGAATGACTT